AGTTTTTTTCATGTACATCTATGCTGTATGTTAATAAAAGTGCCCGTGTGACATCTGGGACACAGCTTTGACTAAGAACTCTCTTTTTGTTCTTACGTTATGGCTTTAAAAAAAATCGAGATATATATCTTATATTGCCGTCCGGCTAAAAAATATCGAGATATGAATTTTGGGTTATATCGCCCAGCCCTAGGCAGCACATTAAGTCCATCTTTTATATACAACGTGAGTTTTACCTTTCCTTCTCTTTCTGTAAAAGGAGACTTAAACGCTGCTACTCTGTGCAGGATTAAAACCTCAGACTCGAAATATTCAGCAACACACATCTTTGTTTGTGTGAGGATTTTTGTGTGTGTGTTTTTTTTTTTCATGTAAACACTCACCGCTAATCCACTTGGCCTCGGGGTCGTGAATGCTGAACTCTGGTTTGTAAAGATCTGCCACAGTCAGCCTGGACTTGCTGCTGCCGGGAAGTTCAACTGGAAAACAAATAAATGGGTGAACTCCAGGTTACAGTGAGAGATTCATCCAACGCAGAGCTGCAGATTATAAGTGTCTTATAAAGCATATTCATGTACTTCTGACAAACACATATTTGCATGGTTTAGAAAGCTAGAAACATCATCCTGTCTCTCTCCACAGGCTGACATACCGGGTGTGAGGACGACCACAGACATGGTGATGAGCGAGCAGACCACCACGATCACCAGCAAAGAGATTGCAATGCCCTTCCAGTTCCTCTGCGGAGGGCTGACGTCCACATACTCCTGCAAACACAGAAAGTCAGAAACAAACACTAATCATCAGAAACTGTGCCTCTGCGTGTGAGTCACTCGAACACTGCGAGAATTCATCTGCAGTCCTAACAGCCTCTACGCTCGCTGTGGGATTTTGCTCTCATTCAGTCAGAAGTGATGCTGTTTAATGCGGTCCAGCTTGCACTTCATCCCAGAGGTGTTGCATGTGGCTGAGTTTGAATTTATGTGTAACTTCTTCCAGACCAAACTAGGAAAACTTTTTTTTACACGGCGCTGACAATAAAATATCATCCCAGTACTGATATAAAGAAATGGGCTCTGCAAGAGCTGTGAAGGTATCTTATGACATCTGGCACCAGCTGGCAGCTCACTGTGAGTTGGAGGTGCTGTGGACCAGTTAGGGATTTGCCCTGAAGCTCCCCACAAGCCTCAACCACACACACAACTCTTAACTTAATACAGTTACTTTTGATCATTCAGAAAAATGGGATACTTTGTATAAAAATGGCTGTAATTCCTAAACAGTTAATTCAAAAGTGTCATTAAACCACTTAAATTAAAGCTGAAGGTCTCCAAGTCAGTCACATCTTGAGTGTTTTAAACTCTGCTGTGTTGGTGTACAGAAGGAAAAATACAAAAATTGTACCTTTCTCCAGCAAAATAAAGTTTGATGCTTCATTTTAATTACATATTATTTATATAGCGACACATTACAACAACAGTTAGCTCAAGGTGCTTTATATCGTAAGGTGAAGACTCTACAATAATACAAAGAAAATAGAGAAACCCCACCAATCAGACGAGCCCCTATCAGCAAGCTCTTTGGTGACAGTGGGAAGGAAAAACTCCCTTTTAACAGGAAGAAACCTCCGGCAGAGTCAGGCTCAGGGAGGTACAGCCATCTGCCACTGGTGTGGGGTGAGGAAAGGAAGACAGGACAAAGAAACCTTGGCCATTTCACTCACTAACTAAATGATGGACAGAAAATTGTGGCTCTGCTGTAATCTGTGCTCTCTTTCAAAATGAGAGAGGAAATAAAGGCTCACTGAATTTGATGCTGTGGCCTTCATACTGAACATCTACGGGACGTTTGGGACTGAGATGCTTGAGCGTGCTCCAACCACCATCATAAAAAGATCAAACATAGCAGAGAGAGACTGCATAGGCTTAAAAATCATGTATGAACTGAGCCCCTGGGTCCAGATTACTGTGTGATACTTGCTGTAGAGCATTAACAATACATCTCCAGGTTTTAATTACATTTTAATTTAATATGAATTTGTGAAGTTAACACAAAATTTCCAGAGCACTGAAGCTGATTTAATGGCTAAGTCCTTGTTTTGCTACCTTTGAGCTTGGTACTAGCAGCCAGTTTTCAGATTCTTCTTCTTCTTTTTTTTTTTT